GAGGGTCCAAGCATCAGCTACATCCCCAGGGAGCAGCCTCGACACCTCCCCTTGCTCCCCCAGAATTTCACTGCTCTAATTAAGGAGGAAATCACAGAGGAAAGCTCACCCGTGTCTGTGTGGATTTTGGTGACTGAACAGCCTGTAACGCCACTAGGTTGGCTTTTTCTTTCCCCCCCCTTCTCATTTCTAAGGACTTTTTTGGGAACTTGAAAAATACGCACTGAAAGCTGCTGGTGACAGTTACATGTCATGGGCTCATCTCCCTCCAGGGGTCAACAGAGGCTGGCTTCAAGCTGCAGGCCTCCATCCTGCTCAGCTGCAACAGACAGGTACCTGCTCCCAGCTCTGTACCAGGCCACATGTAAACTCTTCCAGCTTTGTTACTTCCCAGGCTATCAGAGCTCTTGACACAGTAGTGCTTCAGGTCCTGGAGAAGAAGGCAATGAACCTCTAGCTGCCCAATGAACCTTGCTGGAGAGCATATGCAAGATATGGGGCATATGTTTAAGAGCTTACATCAGAAGAGGTTGTTTGTGCTGCAGAGCAGAGAGGGTGGAGGGGAGGATTAGCCAGGCCATACGTGCATGGCACCCAGAAGCATGAGGTCTCAGGCCATCCTTCCACACTCTCTGTCCCTGAGGCTGCTCGTACCCCGGCTGAAGACACAGCTCCACTGCCCTGTCCAAACCGCCCTCATAAAGGGATCCTTCATAACTGCCTGAGCTTAATTAATGTGCCCTCCGTGGGCTRTCATAGCATTTGTTAGCTGCAGAGGGTCATAAATATTGCAGTCCTGATCCAGAGCTGGTGCTGGGCTCCACTGGTGCYTGCCAGGGCCCAGCCAGTTCCAGACTGGTCTGCAGGCAGATGATGCACTGTTGTAGTCTCGTGCACTCCCTTTTCTCTCCCCAAGCTCATGCAACGCATGGTCACAAAGCAACCCATCTTTTTGCACTTGTAAACACATTTTGCAGAGTTGTAAATGTTCCTATTGATTCCTCAGCCTTATTATCCTCGCTGCACAGCCAAGAATTAACTTCCATTTGAGGATAAATTATTAATCAGCCTTCTACAGGTCTATTCCATAATCATTTCTACCATCCTGGCTGTCACATAAGAAGGATTTGCATATTTATTCTGCCACTTTTCCTCCRAACAGTACATAGGAGCCCATGTTTACCTGCAGTCTCCTAAATCACCTGCCCTGCTGCTGGGAGCATTGGCTTTAGACAGAGCAGGCCCTGCACAGCACAGTCCAGCTACTCCTCACTCATTTACTTTGCGGCATATTTTTGCAGGCAARTACTTTTCCTTTTCACTTCTCCGCTTATTCCTTGCTTATTTATGATACCCTGTAGGGTAAAGCTGTGCCACTTGTTCAACAACCCAGAACCAGAATACACAAGCTTCCAGCCTTGCACTGACGGTCTTTGGTCCCCAGCCCAGCTTGCACAGCAAAGCATGGTGAGCTGATATTTTGGCACAATTTTCTCCTGCCACTCAGTGACAAGCAGCCATGGTGATCTATTCAAGACATGTCCATGCTTCTGCCATAGGTGAAATGYTGCTTGGCTGCAAGACATGTGGGACCTATGGGGAGGAATGAGGTTGGGAGCGTGGAGGTGCTAACAGCATCTCTGTAGGAAGGGCCAATGTTTCCTACATGGARGGAACAGAGGAGCACCAGTGGTTGGTGGTTTAAGCAGCAACAGGGCAACTGAGGCACAGGTAAAAATCAATGCCCTATCCAAGGCTGTGAAGGAGGATAGTGTTGGAGCCAAGGAAGACCCCAGGAGTCCTAGCTCCAAAACTACATGCATGAGGCCACAAACGAGGGAGAGAAACCCAGGCTTCCTAGTCTTTGTCCTTTACAACACAAAGAGGGGGAAGCAAACAGGCAGGTCAGTCCTAACACTGCCACGGGTCCTTGCACCATCAGCTGAGGCCTAGCAATGCCATTAAATCCTTGCTCCCAGCGGGATTTCCACAATACTGACAAGCGCGCAGGGCTGATTCCTTCCAGCAGATGGTAGCAGGAGTATGCAAGGGGACTGCACCACACCGAGACCCTTGGCTGGACACCACTGTTGCTGCACCACTGCCTCCCAGCAAGGCCAGCAGCTGCCCAGGCAGCTGAAAGGTGACATGGACAGCCCCAGAGCAGGGAGAAAGGCAGCTGAGCAAGTGGCATCTGGAGCAGAGGCACCTGACAACACACCATGGGCCCTCCTTATTGCCCAGGCCACAGATGGCATGAGTTTACTAAAGGACCCACAGCTTGCAAGGAAAACTCAGGTGTTAAACAGCACTTGTACCCATAGACATGGCAGCTCATGGACCAGTTGCSGTCAACCCAGACAGCCACCACAGCAGCAGACAGCAGCTCCTTTACTTAAAGCTGGGCCATTATCCTCTGGTTGCATCTGCAGATTGGGTGTTTCCTTTCAGACCTCGCATTCCAGGGAGCGATGCCTGTTTTGTCCTCACTTCATTAGTTGATATAACAACAGATATTGTCTCTACCTACAAGTCCTCTGACTGTTGTGATTTGTAGTGTCACCTACAAGGCTGAAGGCAAGTATATCTAGCACTTACTCCAATTTCTCTCTCACTTTCCCTCTTTTGTTCTCCCTTCTCTCGTTTTTATATCACCTTCTCTCTCCTGATTTACCACTAACTGTGTTTTTGTGCATTTCTTCAGTCCCTAATTCTTGGCACCAAAATACTGCAGAATAATTTCAATGTCTCTTTCTTTTTACTCTTCCTCTCTAGAAGTAAAGATTTAGCTCTTGCGATTGCAGAGAAAGCTTGAAAAYGTGATACAAGTACAATGGAAAGACTGGAAGCCAAAAGGAAATCAATAGAAATCAAGAGGCGCCGTTCAAACAAGCAGCTGAGGAGAAAGACTCGTATGGCTGAGCGCAACGCATGAATCGGGTTTACAAACGTGAATTAAAAACAAAAAAAAAAAACACACTTTCAAGAAGGCGATCAAGGTTTTTTTGGGTTTTTGGTTTTTTTTGGCAATGATTTCCCCTACCCAGGACACCCAGCTCCCTTTGCTGTGCTTGCCCCAGTATCACACGCACAGGCCCAGGCAATAGGGATGCTCCTCTCCCCGAGGAGCGGGCGTTCCCACGCACCCAGCTCCGGAGGACGGGAAGGTCTGGGCACAGCGCGGTGAACAAGGGGAACCCCGGGGCAGCAGAGGGGAGCGCGGGGCACATGTCACCGCGGGTGACACTTGACAGCTCTGCGACATATGCTGCGTCCCGCTGCAGGACCGGGCTGCCCTCCGAATCAGCTGCCAGCCTGGCTCAACATGAGGTTAAACCCGCACTCAGGAGCCGGAAAGGAGAGAAGCAGCAGATGGAACCAATCAATTTGCCAGCCGAAAACCGATCAATTTGTGGGCACCCCTCCCCATCCAAAAGCAGGCTGGGAACAGGCCCCCAGCCGCTGCCTGCACACACAGAGATCAGTGGGCAGCCCATAATAAACCCTGAATGTATTTCCAGCCATAAAATGCTTGACATGCCTTCAGAGAGGCTGCTGAACCCCCTGATTTGCAGCTGGCACTCATTTTCCATTGCAGGTAGTAAAAAAGACTCCGCCRGAGCAGTGGGATATTTCTTCGCCCRGCTCTGCTCCCACCCCCCCAGCCCGATTATAGCAGGACTCTCACATCTCCTCCCTCTTCCTCTCCGCAGCTCCCCTTTCCCTTCGGAGCCGGCGCCGGAGCCGGTGTGGATGGCAAGATAACAAGCGAGGGTGACAATTTCAGGAAGTAGTTGGGCCTTGTAAATCCTGCCGGGGGCTTCCTTGGGGAGAGGAGCCATCCGGGGAGCGGGACATGCACGGGCTGGAGTCACGCCTGTTAGGGAGGTATTTGTTCTYCTGGCCCCCGCGGCCGAGCTGCGCCGTGGTCACATCCCTCGAGCGGGGATCTGGTTGCAGCAATAAAGTTGAGCAGGTCGGGTTCCTCGCTGGGCAGGAACGAGTTATTGATCAATGACACAAACGCTTCCCACCTTCCTCCCGCCTCCAGGGTGGATGTAACGGATATGGGGAGATAGGTGGGAAGGGAAGCACAGGAGATGCTCTCATCAGGAGCACGGTTGGGGAGAGGACATGGAGAGACTGAAAACAAACTGAGAAGAGCATGGATCTGTAGGTGTCTTAAGATGAGGGCTGCAGGTGGATGCAACTCCTTCTGTGGCTCAGCAAATRTTTCTGCAGACACAAGGGGACAGGATTAGTGTTTCTCCTGTTTGCTCAGAGGACAGCCTAGGATCCTGGTCTCTCTTCCCCACCTGCTGGCCAGGGCTTTAGGAGCTGCATGGTTCTTATGCACCCCAGATTCCAGTGCAGATGAGGATGGTTCCTGATGGGAACACCCAGCCATTCCCTTTCTGCAGGACATGTGCCCCTAAACTCACCAACACTTTGTTTACAAGCACATTCTAGCTGGAAGTTCAGGTGGAAAAAGTTTAGATGCTGAGGTTCATGCTCTATGGCTGTGGAGACAGCTTGATCCAGGGTGGAAGTCCCACCACAGCAGGGCAATATAAATGAAAACAACCTTCAAGGAACAGCATGGTCATTTCTAACATTGTACAGGATCTCCAGACCTTATTTCCTGTCCTTCAAGTGGCTGAGATCATTGGTGAACTGTCCTTCATGCCTGCTGGAGAAAGCTTTGGGGCATAGGCTGAGACCCTAACACCTCACTCCAAAGGCCCGGATGGTCAAGCTTCATCATGTTTGATCCTGGACAGGTATTGGACTGAGATTCATAATAGTAACACCACTAACAATCACGGTAATACTAATATAACACCGTACTCTTCCACCCAAGGAGCTCAAAGCTTTTTAAAGAGATTAAGTCTCACAGCATCTATCCCACTTCAAGGAAGTTATTTAGATAGCAGTAAAGCCTCCTCCTTTGAAGCCTCCCCACCTTCTTGAGTGCATCCCCCAAGGAGGAGGAGCACAACAGCTATTTGCAAGCATGCAATAACAGTCTACAACAATCTAGGCCAAGCAATGAAAGCAAATACCATATTAAAGGCAATCAGAGGGAGCATAGAGGAGATAATGCACCAGGACACTTGGCTTCGCCACTCATCTTTTAGGAAATATATTAGAGGACTTTCCACAATATTCATCATCAAGGGTCCCTGGTTCCAGCAGGAGCATGTTCTCTCATCCCACCCTGGGCACCCATCTCCTCCTGATTTGCAAAGCAGAGTCCTCCCTTGCCATGTCCCCTGTGTCGTTCAGCACATCCCAACTCCCACTCTGGACCAACTTGAGACACCAGGGACTTGGAGATGGAAAGTTCCATGGCTGTTCAAAATAGAGTTCCCCTTCCAGGGCACGTCAGCAATCTGTGTCAGTACAAGCCTGCAAGGAGCAAGCAGTCCCCAGGAATAAGCTACAACAGCAAAAATAGGTCGGTGATGACTGAAGCCTCCGCAAGCCCCTRCCTTTTCTTCTGTGGTCTTGTGGGAGTAAAAGCAGTTGTCAGCAGCCCAGCCTGAGCATCACCACCAGAAGCTGCTCCAGGGCTTAGATCCACAAGGTGCTTGCTCAGACAAGCCAAAATATTCCTGCTTTTCACCACAGGGTCTGGTCTCCGCTCCTGCCGACTCTGAGGAACACACAACTAGTTAGCAGCAGTGGTGTGAGGGGGTTCAAAAGGTCATATTGAAAAATGGCACTTTGTCAAAAACGTCATTGCAGCAGCATTTCATTGCAGTTTTCTTTAAATGAAAAATTTCAGAAGGAAGTGAAGTCAACATTTTATTCCACTGTGATTTGAAATTTTTCGGCTGCTGTTTTAAAGCAGCTCTTCCCCATGCCTAGACTCCTCACCTTCTTTCAGTATGTCATTTTTAGTTCAAAACAGAAGGTTTTGGCCATTCTTCAGAGAACGTATCTTTTCAGTAACATCATAGGAATCCACAACATTTCCTTCACTTGAAGAYGTGAAGAGGCAAAGTGAAAAATCTGAACTTTGCAGCTTTGATTCAGTGGATGGTCTTTTAAACTAAGCAGTTTTCAAAGAGCTACCAAGTGGTAGAAAAAGAAAGAAGAAAAATAAAAAGAAAAAAWATACAGGAATACATTAATATAATATATAGAAGAAAGGGAAGAAAAGGAATGAAAATGCAGTGGGGGGAAACAGCTTCAAAACACTAAATAATAATTTAAAAATCTCTAGAAAAAAAGGTGTTTCACTTCAAACTCAACTTGAAGATTTCAAATCCCATTTCTTGTGATTATTTCCGCCTCCACCTGTRTTATAGTCTCAATAGATACAAGTATTTATGCACTGTCCCAGYACTGAAATAAACCTTATTGTTCTGACCTCCAAGGTGGTGGGTGTTTCAGGAAGACTCCACAAATGGGTTAATCTCAGGTAGCACCACAAAAGTTCTTCCTCGGAGCTTCCCAGCCATGGAGGGTGAAGCTCCACAGAGGCTTCTTTACCTAAACTACCGGATCAGAACCTTGAGTCCTGCTAAAGAGGAAGAAAAAAGGTTCTGATTAGACCTATTCAAAGTATCTCAAGTGATGACAGCTGATTGCAAGGCCATTGTCACACAGGTGGGGCTAATTGAGCAGCTCTTGCTCAGTGAGTGATCCTTCGGAGTATAAAATAAAATAAAATAAAATAAAATAAAATAAAATAAAATAAAATAAAATAAAATAATACAATACTTTGGAGATCCTATTCTCATCCAGAGCAGCAGTGGCCTGATACAGGAGCATGGAGAGCCTTGCCTGATCACTGAGGTGGATCTCGCACGAACATTTGCATTTTCTTTGCCCCCCATGGCAGCATGAGAAGTTATGGGGACATTGGGTTTCTGCCCACCACTGCAAAGACACGGAATAGCATTCCTCTTTTGATGCTATGAGCTTGGGGAGAGGACAGCCGGTTGTACGGACTTTCCTGGGCTGGGTGGCTTGGGTGGGTGTAGCCATGTGAGCACGTTCCCAGCGTGAAGCTGGGCAGATGTGCTGGTACCAGCGTGACATTCCCCAGCTCCCTTCTCCTCCCCTTCGCTGCCCACAGCCTGGCCTCTCCGTGACTCCCATCCACGCCTGGATGCCGCTGCTTTTCACTGAACCCAGATGCAGTCCCTGGGTGGGCCAGGCTCCTCCACAGCCACCGGCAGAAGCCCAGAGATCAACACAGAACCAGGACAAAAATAAATCCTGCTTGTCCTGACCTGGCTCCCTGACTCCAGCCTGTCTGGGAGCTGCACATGCTGGGGAACTTCAGCTGACCTTCAGCTGCATCATCTCTGGCTAAGCAGAAAACATCCCTCTAAGATTCAGGGATCTCCAGAAAAATATCAATCTCCTCTGTTTTAGGTATGTGCTCCAGCAGCACCTCTTCTCTCATGCTTAAAAATGTGGCTTTTAGTGCGTGTTTGAGGCCATCTGGCTTCACCTCCCAGTCCTGCACCAACAACTAGAGCAAGCAGAAAGCCTTTTGCCTTCGGTGTTATGAGGAAAAGAGCTCTGAGAGGCAAGGGCAGCCCATGCCGGCCCCACGGACAACCCTCCCCCATCCCTGCCCTCTTGCCGTGTGGGGATGTGAGAGCAGGATCTCACCTAGGGCCCTGGAGACAGCCGCACRGCGAGGAAGCGGCGCCTGCCGCGCGCGTCAGGAATGATTTGATCAGCAAGAGAGATGAGCATCTCTAGCATTGACACCAGGGGACAGGCAGAGGAGAGTGCGAAAAAGCTCCTGATGGACAGCAGGGCTGCACGCACGGCGGCGGTGGAGACCTGGCGCTGGGAAGAGCAGCCCCCAGCCTGGGCACTGGTCTCTGCCGGACACAGAGGCCTTGTTGGCTGGAGAGACCATCCAGTGCTGTGCCCAGCTGGCCTTCCCTCAAACGCAGCCCCACGGCTCCCATCTGGCACAACAGTTCAAGAGCTGTTACTGCAGAACTGAGGGCTGGGAGAAGGCTCCGTGTGGACGGTGCCCACTTGAGCTCCCGTGAAGCACCTCTGAATGAGACTGATCACCACATGGARGCCTGCTCAGACCCTTCCTCACAGGCCCTACCATTGCCTGTCTTCCTCTGGGCTGTGGTCCTTTCTGACCTCAAAAATGTCCTTTAAAAGTGAATTTAGTGTTGGTGGAAGGTACTGGATTGACAGCCCTGGACAGAGCTGTATCTTATTTATCCCTGGAGCAGAAGAAGCAAGGGCAGTCGCAATGCAAGCTCATCCCCAACACACATGAGGTCTCTGAGTGTGCCAGGCCAGCTCAAGCCCAGACCACACAGTGCACACTGAGACCCCCCACACACGTGTGCTCCAAACCCCGTGGTGATCTGCCTGCTCCTGGCGCAGAGTCACCATCACCCGCAAGGTCCTTCCCTGGCCTCCTCTGCTCAGCAGTCCCCAGGGATGAGGATACCAGCTGCAAAAGGGTTGGATTGCAAACAAGCACAGTCCAAACCCTGCCATTACAGCACATCCTAAAGGACCGTGGACAAATTCTTTCCTCCTATCCAACCAGCCCTCTCAAGGTCTATTCTAACTCAAGGACTGTCATGGGAGACCTTTGCAATATCCCCTCTGYCAGGATGGTTCCCCTCCTTTAGGAGCCACAAAGTTTCTGAAGCTCTCAATACATCCTGCTCTCCTCTGCTCACTCATCTTCAGAACATTTTTTTTTTTGCCATCTGTTTGCCTTTATTTCCTTTGGGAATGATTCTTTTTATTTTTAGATTCCAGGGGCAAAACGTAACCAGGTGGCCGTGAGTGGGAGCGAGCCTCGCTTATCCTCTGCCTTAAAAAACAAACCCCAAACCATGAAAAAATATCAGCAGCAACCCCAAAACCTCCAACCAAGCAGATCAAGCCCAGGGAATCTGCAGAGGGCCACAGCATGGTGTGACCCCCACACCTACAGCCAAGCCCCTCCATTGAAACCCCACTTTTCCCCCCGGCATGCGAGCCTCAGCCATCCACTCTGCTGGTGTCTCCTTGCCTCTATTTATACTAAAGCCCTTGCAGAATAAAACATCCATGTAAAATCCAATTTCCTCTGAATCTCTCTCGGAGACGAGGCCCCGAGATTGAGTAGATAACCTCTGCAGTAATTGCCTGAACCACTCCTGTTTGCTGGAAAGGTGAGATCCATTTTTCAATTATCTATCTGCAGTGACAGCAGCGAGCAACGGAGCTAAGAGGAAGGAGAGAGAGAGAGAGAGAGAGAGAGAGGAAATCCAGCCAACAAGAGCCGTCTGTGTCAATCCTGGCAAACGGGAGGTACGATAGATGTGGTCACAGTTCCTGCCATCAATATCCTCTAATATAAATGTCAGCGATGCCATTTTACCCACAGTCATTTCCCACAATGCTGATTACATTATCGTATAATAGAGGGGCGCCAGCCGCACCGCTTTCTCTCCTAACCCTCCTCGCGGTAATGTGTCAATAGCCTGCCTCCATGAAACAAGTCAATTTTCTGCAGGCTTGGCAGCGGAATAAATCTGCCGACTATCTAGAGAGCCGCAGATATTTATACACACCGCGTCCTCTCGCGCGCGCTCGCCCGCTTTCTCCCGCCTCCCCCCTTCCCTCCCTGCGTGTGCAAGCAGAGATGTGTGTCCTCAGCAGAATTGAGTGATTTTCAGCCCAGACTCAATAAGAAGAGAATTTAGGGCAGTCCTACAGCTTGGCTTCCAGTAACAGCCCGACACGTTTATTTTCTTTAGCTTAACAGGAGAGAGAGAATTATGTTTAGATTTATATGACAAGGGCAGTTCTACCAAAACGCTCGTGCTAAGCGCGGTGCAGGAGGGAGGCAGGTGTGTGCATGGGTGGTGAAAGCCCTAGACGATCACCAGCAGTGAGGGATCATAGCACCCCATGGGTGACAAGAGGGGGTCCCTCTGGAGCTGGAAAAGCAGCTCTTATTTTACCCGACAGCTCCTTGCTTTCTCCGTGTCCAAATAAAATTGCGCTGGGAGTGGGAGGAGGGAGGCCACATTGTGCATTCCTGACAATGGATGAAGGTGGAGGCATCCGGTTCCTCTCTCTTGCCTCGTGCAGATGGATGCAGCAGAAGAGCTCCGGGGGACATGACATCTCAGGGCTGGAGCGATGCTCCTTCTCGTGGGGACATTCACAGGACACCTGCAGCCCGGTGCCACATGCACCCACACTCTGCTTGCTACCTCCCACCAGCRCAGAGGCAGCTCAGCCTCTCCGAGAGCCCCAGTGGCTCCCTCTGCCAGTCAGTGGCTGCCACTTCCAGGCCACATCTTGCTCCCCAGACAGGGATGAAAATGGTGGATTCTGCTCATACTGACCGAAGCAGGGATTCTGGCCTCTTCTGGAGACTAAGAGGTAATTCAGAAATGCTCTGCTGCCTCAGGACTGAGAGTCCTCACCTCCCCCAAGGTGATGGAGATGGTCTTATCAAGATTCCAAAGACACCCCCCCACAAGACACCAAAAATGCACCATTTGCCCTGAAAGGTCACTCTGCCAACTCTGTGCCACTGCCTTTGGCAGCTTTCAAAAAGCAGCTCTTAGAAAGGACAGCAGCCTCTTAAGAGGACCCCAAAGACCAGGTTCACCCCCTGGTCCTGCTTCTGTACCCCAGCCATAGTGAACATCATGTATCTCCTCGCCCTGCTCTGTTGTGACTTTGTTAAAGGCTATCTTCGTATTCTTTCCCACCAAGACACCCAGCTTCCCACCAGTCCCTGTACTTCTGGATGGGCTTTTACCAAGGTGCTGGCTGTTGCTTTCTGCCCTGACAGCTGTGTCAAAGATTGACAACAGCTTTACAAAACCAGAGGAAAGTGAGGCTTTGTGTCTTGATATAGGCTTTATTTAGAAATCAATGAAACCCACAGCTCCATCACACAAGCTCCAGCCCTCTTACCCCTCTCAGCCCTGTAATCTAGAAAAGACAGTTGCCCTGTTTGAGAAGGTTTGCTTCAGGTCTGTGCTTGGAAAGAATCTACCCATATTTGATAGGAAGAAATCTGTCTGGGATGGAAAAGGACTGAAGTTACTGGGGCTGCCTGGTCCAAGGGCTGTCAGAGCAAGTGGGAGCCCTGTCTGACACCATCAGTCTTCAGATAAATCCCAGATTTGGGCATGCCCTGGATCACAGCCCTCAGTGTTAGGATCTTGGGTCGTTCCRTCGGCAAGGCCAAGAACAAGCTGTGAAGGAGGGATATGCATTAAGGTATTTTTCTCCAAAGTGAGGAAGTGAGGCCCAACTCCAGGCTTCTGATTCAAATCCTTGTTTGCATATGTGCTATGTTGTTAAGGGAGCAAAGCTGGCAACGAGTTTCAGTTGCTTACAACCACACTGGCAGGGAAGACAAATGCAGAGCTTAAGATAAATGAGGCACTTCCAAGTGCGAGAAAGTCAATACTATAGAGACCTTCAAACTGGAGTCTGGGGAACAGCTCACAATTCAGCTTGCTGGTACAGGCAAGGAGACATCGCTGTCTSTATGCTGAGA